AGGGCCCCCAATGATGTCTGCCCCCTGGCATTGACTCTCTCATGTGATCCTCTCCCCTTGAATATGGGACAGACCTGATGACTTGCTTCCATCGAACAGAATATGGTAAAAGTGATGGGAGGTGATTTGGAGAGCAGGTTATACGAGTCCGTGATTTCCACCCTGGTGGCACACTTGCCACCTCGGCTTGCTGGCTTTGTGAAGCAAGCTGCCCTGCTGGGGAGGCCCACATGGCAAGGGCCGGAGAGGAACCAAATTCTGCCAAAAATCACATAGTGAGCTTGGAACAGATCCTGCCCCAGCTGAAACCTGAGGCGACCGCAGCCCTGGCCAGCACCTTGATTGTAGCCTTGGAAGACACCCTGAGGCAGAGAACCCAGTTCAGCTGGGACTGGATTCCTGATCCACAGAAACTGTGAGAAAATAAATGTGTGTTGCATTAAGCTGCTACATTTTGGGATGACCTATGTCACATCAGTAATGAAAACGATTACAAAACAGCAGGTGGTGAACATACCTTGACAAAGAGCATACAGGCAGATTTGGGGAACTTATAAGCAACATGTCTTGGTTCTTCTCTTAAACCCTAGTTATTAAGAATGGACGACCACTGTAGCCAATTCCCAGAGCACAGCCAGCAAACTGGAGATTTATTAGAGTAAGAAATTCTTAGGCTAATGGCCATAGACTATAAGGGGGCGCACAGACTGTCTGGGGCAGTGTTTCTAACCAAGGAGGGGCATCAGAATCAGCTGAGAAGTCTGGAGCCTGCCTTGGACCTACTGAATCAAGGATCTCCACAGGGGAACCTACAGCCTCTGAATGAGAGACAATTTCCCCATATACAGAAGCTGTGGATCACCTGTACACACCACAGATCTGGTCCTGCTCCCGCCCCTTGACACAATAGGAGATGGCAGGCCAAAGAAGTTCCGTGTCTTCTTAGGATCACACAGCTGGTTGGTGGCAGCCCAGGACGAGGGCCCAGGCCTCTACCTCCCTGTCTTTTCTGTGTACCCAGCAACAAGACACCCCCACCCCATACCCCCATTCAGCTTAGCCCTGAGTCAACACAGGAAAAAACAGTAGAGATACCTAGAGACAATTCTAACATTAACTTTATTTGTTTTGAAAACAACTTCCATTCTCATCTCTCAATTTAGTCCTGGCCTGGTGACAAGATGACTTTTCCCTCTGACTTCCTCCAAGTGCCTCTTTATAAGAAAGGGAACACCAAACACTTCCCATTAGATCTGTCTGCAGATATCACTCAGGCGAAGCCCTGGCCAGGACCGGAACTTAACGGCGTTGAGAACATGGAGGATTTGGCTTGAGCCCCATCGGCTTACGATCTTTTCCTCCTTCCTCCCTGAGACAGCCGCTCCTGTCCTGGGGGCTCTGCCTCCACCTCCCAGTCCAGGGCGTCCGGAGCAGTGGCGGGCTGCTCGCAGCCTGGTGTCCAGTCTGTTCCGTGTGGGGAAGCGCGGCCCCATGGCCCAGGCTGGTCCTGGCAAGGGTGCTCAAGAGCTCACCATGTCCCAGTGCTGGCTCATAAGTGAGTACTCGCACGGGTTGATGACGACTTCCTTGCCATTCTCAGTGCCATCACCGAACATATCCGTGTCCAGGCAGAGATGGGATGCTACATGCTCGATGCGGGAGCCAGTTTTGGTCCACTGCTGAGAAGACAGAGAGGAGAGAGATGAACTAGTTTCTCTGGCTAAAGTCCCAGTCCCATCAATACTGTGGGGAGTCCCAGCATCATCATAAAGGTTGACCGCACATGTCTAAGATCATCCAGAGACTTGATTTCACGGTCTCACGGAAGAATGAAACTGCAACTAATTGCCCTGCCAGGTATTGTTTTTTGTTTGTTTGTTTGTTTTGGTTTTTGTTTCTTAATTCGATAAGAAAAGTTGAAAGCAAAATCAATACGTTTGCTAGGAAAACTCATTAGGAGGCAATAACTTTCCAAGCAATAGGCCAGAAAATGTGAAGTTAGTCACTGGAGCAACCAGAGAGATGACGCACACTCGGTATCTGCACAGCGACACAGAAGTCGGGGACAGCCGGGGTGGTGGGAGCAGCGAGGGCGATGGCAGGAGGGGGCTTCTTCAAAGTGAATCAGCACATGAACGCCCAAGCAGAGCGGGGTCTCATGTGGCTCTTTCTCACACTCACCTCACATGGCGAGGAGGGAGGGGATGGGCAGAAGCTGGGGACTCCGCTGACCAGGCACTGAGCTCTGTGCTTCATAGAGACCATCTCAGTTCATTGCTCTACACAGCTACCCTGCATCAGCCTCATTTCAAAAAGGAGGAAATGAAGGCTCAGAGAGGTCCAGTAAACTGCTATGGGTCACACAGCCAGGGAGCCACAAAACGGGCCTTTGAATCTTGGTCTCTCTAATGCTGGCACCCAGTGGTCATGAGACTGAGTGGAGCCAACACCTTGCTGCTAGAGGAACTGCGCACATGGTGCAGCCAGAGTGCCACAGACTTCGGTGAAGCCCAAGGCCCTGATGGCAAACGGTCAAGTCCTGCTCATCTCTGTGGCCTGGGATCCTTGTTTGGGATCCCAGGTGGGGGAATGGAGCTGTGACAGAACAGTACGAGATGACTGGGCCTGGTGTCAACAGGCTTTCATATGGCAAGCTGGTGGGCGGGGTCAACACTGCCACTGCTGCTGGCACCGTGGGGGTCTGAGGCATCACTCTCCTGACCACAGGGACCTTCCTCACTAAAGCTTCCTCTTCTAATGGTTTCTCTCCTTTCCTGTGTGTGTGCGCGCACACACACACACACACACACACACACAAGAATTGGACCTACACTGGCAGTCACGCATGCAAGGCAGCCACACCCCAGGGACCCAGTGAGCTCTTACCTGTCTGTCATCTCCATTCTTGCAAGGGATAAGAACCACGGGGGCTCCAGGGAACAAGGTGACCACTGACAGGCACATCTCCTCCTGGAGGATCTGCTGGGTGTACGTGTAGGCCCACACCTGCGGGGAGAGGCCAGGAAGGTTCACTCAAGGTCTAGGGGGCCAGCACTCATGGGGTACTACTGTGCCTATGTGTGATGATCACTACAGCTTGATAAAAAGCACTGAGGTCCTAGCAGGAATCAACTGTCAAACAAGTCACCTCGAAAAATGTCCCGCAAGTTCCAAAGACTCAGAGGTCACACCCCCACGGAAGTCTCCATCCCTATTCCCCGTAAAGGGGCCGGGCTGTGCAGGCTGCCTCTGGGAGTCGCTGAACAACTCTGGGCTTTGGGCAGGAGCCTGAACCGCATCCCAGACAGGCTGTGTGGTGCCGTTTCTCTGAAGGAAATGTCTCAAGGAGAGTCTGTTCCCCACGCTTGACATTTCAAGAGCTACCTGGAAGGTCACCCCCACCGCCCCCGTCTCTGGCTGTGTTTAGAATGTCTCCTCTTCTTGGAAAGGGAGTCCAAATCAGTGTCTCGAGAATGCAAGAGTGAGGACAAGAGGCAAATGGAGGGACAAAGGGAACAAGGAGGGGACGGAGGAAGAGCTGAGGGAAAGAAGAAAGTTGTGAGGAATCAAATCCTGTCCAGAGGGTGAGCGCGCTCCGACGTGCCAGCACAACAGGCCATTGGCCCCGAGGAAGAGCTGAGGGAAAGAAGAAAGTTGTGAGGAATCAAATCCTGTCCAGAGGGTGAGCGAGCTCCGACGTGCCAGCACGACAGGCCAATGGCCCTCGAACTCCTGAGGGAGAGAAGCTGAGAAACCGAACTGACAAGTGGAGTTCTGATGGCAGGTGGAAAAGGGGTATTCTGTTAGGTCATTATGAGGAATGATTCTAACGTAGTTAGACAGCAAAGTGACAGACAGCAGAGGAACTGCTGCTTATGGAGCCTAAAGCACTCCCCAGTTCTTAAGTCGGGGGCAGAGATTGCTGGCATAAGAGTTGTCAAAATCCGAAGCTGGAAAGGTGGATTTTCCCTCCATTATAAAACAGGGATAACACCTGCCCTCTGCCTTCACCATGAGACAAAGAGAATTCCCGAATTGGATCCCCTGAGAGAACACACGGAGGACTCCGGCAAGGGCTGTATCTGTTTGCCACCACATCCCTGCAGACAAGTTGACCCTTAGTCTCTGGGCCACACTCATGGGCTACTTATCCTTGGCCCAGGAATAAAAAAAGGGCACTTAAAAGGTAAGCCCCCTGCTCTAGGACCAAATGTCCCCCAGGCAGATATGGTGGTCACCTGCAACTTCCTGGCCTGACTCATGCCAGCCACCTCCTGGTCTCAGGGCCTCTGCTGACCTCCACGGTCTGCTGCACACCTTTCACGCCTCCTAAGGCCTGGCTTCTTCCACCTGATCTGCCACAGGTTCGGGGCCTCCTGCTGTCCTGATGGCATGGTGGCGTCCTTCCACCCTGAGCTGGCTGGCGTGCTGGACAATGACGACTGCCTCTCCTGATCTGGGGCCTTCCCTGACCCCTTGTCCCTTGGATGGAGCGACCAGCCCATTAGGAGCTGCTGTCTCCTAAGGATGGCTCTGCCTGAGGATTTTTTCGACCCTTTTCAACCTGCTGGTTGGGAGAAAACCTAGACCAGAAGGCAGTCCCTGGGGAGTGGACAGAAATATATACGAAGCAAGACTGCCCATGAGTTGGTAATCTTTACAGCCTGGCAATGGGTACGTGGGAGTTCCTTATACTATTCTACATCTATATCTACATCTATTTGAGGTTTTCTATGATAAAAAGTCGTCAAATGCATTCTTTGGGACATATGAAGATGTTCTTCTCCGGCCTTGTGAACGTGCCATCCCCCCACACCACGTGCCTTCCTCCAGAAGCTGAAAGGAGGAGGAAGCCGTGCGCACAGCGCTCACGCCACAGCCACGCTGCTGCTGCTGCTAACGACAACGGCTGACGTTATTGAGCACTACATGTCAGACACTGTTCTGCGAACTTTACACAGATTATTTCAGTCTTCATAAGAATCCCACTAAGTAGGTGTTACTATTATCCCCGTTTGACAGATGATGAAACCAAGGCTCTGAGAGGTCATCTAGGGTCATAAGTGGCCCCACAGCAGCTCCACCCACAGCTGCGCTGGTGCTGCGCTGGCAGAGTCCTGGCTGGCCTGGCAGCTCTTTTAGATGAGTTTAATCACAGGAGAAGACGCCTGCCCGACACGCCTCTTCTAGGTTGTACATATTAAAACCATAGATCAGCTCCACCTTGAAGGGAGAGAGGGGCAAGAGAGTCTCGTTCCTGGCCAACTTCCAGGCGCCATGCCAGGGTCTGGGGTGGGGCAGGCCCACAGTGCGGTCCCCTCTGTGACATTCATGGGAATTGGGGCAAGAGTGTGAATGGGGCCTGTACACCTGGACCCCGTCCTAGGCCACGGGGCACCCTCCAGCCTGTGCCTGCCCCCTTGTCTTCCCACCCCATCTGCACATCCTGGCTTGTCACTTTCCTCTAAATGGTCCCCCTTGGGCCTAGTGTGTATACTAGGGTCATAGTCCACCCTCAGGAGGACACACTAGGGATGAGATCACATGGGTCCTGAAATCAGGCAGGGGCCATTCAAGGTGGGGAAGGATTCTGGGGTCCTAGACATCCACAGTATGATCTAGATGGTGGACCCCTGGATGTGGGCTCAGAGTTTCTTTGACCTGTGGGGAGAAGAGACAAGAGCCCAAGGGTCAGGTCTAAGGCCAGGGCTGCCAGGGGTCATCAGCCCAGGCCCACAGTTCAGACCTCAAATTTAGATTTGTGACTTTCTCAGGAAATAAGCCTAAATAGTCGCTGATGTGGACAGAAGATGAGGTGCATTCCTTCAGTCCTACTGCCTGACCATACAGCTTGTAGGAAGCCAAGAACTAGCATTCAAAAATAAATCCTGTCATTATCTTACAATTATCATGATACAACAGCATTGTGTTTTTTTGTGTCAAAAGCAGTAACTGATTAAACAAAAACTTAAAATATACTAGAGTTTTTGAAAGCCTATTTTGGCATCTTTCTTAATATCCTAGGGTCCTCAAGAACTGGACATGCTGTGGTAGTGGGTTCTTTTGACATTTGAGACACCCGTCCACAAGTGCCTTTCTGGAAGGAGTGCCTACAGGCACAGGGCACAGCCCGGGTGGGGTCTGAGGAAACCAACTCAAAGACCCCCCAGGAGGAGCGTGTGAGAAGCACAGAAACAGATCAAGGCCATTACCCTATGTGGACTTTCCGTTGTCTGGTGCTTTCCTGACTTTTAAATAATCTAGCTGCGTGGTTTCCCAGAGGAAGGCTGGTCTCTGGCCACATCTTCAAGAGGAGAGGGGAGGGGGAAGCCTATGACAGGAACAGCTGAAGGGGGAAACAAGGAGAGGTTTTCCGATTCCCATTCTGCGGCCATCAGACTTCCCGCCAACGTGGCCTGTGATGGATGAGTTTATTAAACGAGCCCTGGAGTCAGAAATGGGCTCCAGGAAGGCAGCAGCGGTCGCTCAGGCGGTTCTGGCCTTGATTGGTGAGCGCTGGGCCCTCTGCTCATGGCTCCATTTGGGGGACTGGCAAAAGCCCAGCCCATGACTGGTGTCCCTTCCCCACCCAATGCACATGCAGCTGCAGCCAGAGGGGTGACCCCTGAGGCTGTCCTGGAGGCTGGTGTGGGTGGCCTCTGCCCGGCAAGGAGGAGGAGGGGCTCAGATGAATGAGGAGGGGAGCACCCAGGCTGCACAGTCTTCAGACCTCCTGTGCCTGGAGGACGTCTCTGGAGACTCCCTGTGCAGCAGGGAGAGTCCTGGCAGCCAGGGCAATAGACTTGTCTCGCTAGTAAGCACCCATCTGGCCACAACTGTGAAAGCTGGGTGCAAATGAGCCACAGTGTCCAGCTGGGCTTATTGTCTGGCACTGGATGGAGAAGCAGAGAGTCCGTAAGACATGACTAAAAGAGGCAGGTGACTAACAGAAACAAAGCGGGGTCCAGGCAGAGGGGCTGCTCTCAGAATGGCTCAGGGCCGCCTCTAAGGGCAAGAGCAGTCGGCCTAGAGCACTGGCTTTCAACTGAGGTGATTTCGCCCCCCACCCTCCACCCAGGGGACATTTGGCAGTGTCTGGAGACATTTTTAATTATAACTTGGTGAGGGGTGATTCTGGCATCTCCTCTGGAGGTGGGGCCAGGGGTGCTGCTAAACACCCCATGATGCACAGGGCAGTCCCACAACAGAGAATGATCTGGTCCTAATGTCCACAGTACTGAGGCTGGGAAGCCTGAGCCTACTCTGAAGGGCTGGGCTCAGGAGGCAGCAGGCCTGTGTCTGACCCTGCTCTGGCACCACTCAGGTGTGACCTGGGGAGAGCCTCGCTTACCCTGTCTGTCAAAAGTGGTTATACAGGACATAGTTCATGTGGTTGCTGCAGAGATGAAACACGATAAGCCTGGAAGCACCTAGCCCAGGGCCTGGCCCCCAGCTCACAGCAAGTGCTCCATGAATGGCATTTTATGATGGGGTAAGGAACAGGAGTTGGAAGCGAGAAACGTTAACACATGGAGGGAAGTTAGGTGGCTGTGTTTTCAGCAAGGCGGGAGCTCACACCATTTACTGGTGGTGGCAAGTTTCATGTTAAAAAATTCTTCTGTGCAGGGCAGCGGGTGAGTGGTGGGGGAGACAGTAAACTGGAAAGAAATGAACGCAAGGCAGTGTTGCTGGCGTTGCTGTGTTAGACAGCCAGAGTAACTTCGGTAAGAAACTCTTTCCAGGGCCAGGCCTGCTTCTAGATGCTTCACATTCCTTCTCTATTTAATCCTCTCAAGGACCCTGAGAGGTAGGTATGACTTTATGGAAGCGGGGACTGAGGATCAAAGAGGTCAAGGGGTTACTCCAGGCAATGCCAGGAGAAGATCCCAGGGTTGATTCTGAACTTGGGCCTTCCCTGGTGAGATGGGACCCTGTGCCAAGAGTATCCAGGGCCACCAGCTGGCTTTGGACCTCTTAGGTCACACTGGGCAACTCGCTCGTCATAG